GAGGGCGGGGTGGAGGCGGAACGAGGTCGCCTGCCGGCCTTTGGGCGTGGTGTTGGAGGCAGTACGGTAGCCACAGTGACCGCTAAAGCTCCAAGGAATGTTGTAGAAGATGTTTTTTATCTTCTTTGGTAACTAATGCACCGCTCTAGTTGATAGCGATATTCAATTTAATGTAGTTAATCATATGAATGAATTAAAAATAAGCTTTTGAGTTATTTAACGAAATATAATGTTAATGATACGCTTAAATTTTTACAATTGTATAATTCCTACTAGGTTGGTTTCTGATTTTTATTTAATGTTGTTGAAAACACACACTTTAACAATAAAATATTAAAGACAACTTCGGGCCAGATCCAGAAAGTATTTTATGAGCGAAGGGAATTTTAAAACGCAGCTCCGGTAAGAATATTAAAAGTAACAAAAACTAAATATAGTTAGCTTAAAATAAAAAGTGAATTCTTATCGCAAAAATTCCTTTGGAAAGTAATACGATTAAAATTTAAAAAAATTGGAATAAAGTGGGCAAAGTCACAAAAAAAGTTAAGTTTGCGTATGGGGGTGACATGGCCTTCACAGAAACAAATACACTTCTCTACTTAAACGCAGAGCCATGACGTATTGAAAATACTTCAACCCATTTTAGAACGGCCAGCACCACGACGTCCAGAGTGAAAATTGGGAACAACGATTCGTCAAATGTCGAAAGCACTCGAGCGTGTGTGCACGGCTACCGCCCTGGACGTCCTGATGAAGAATCGCGTCGTCGGGCGCCGGGCGTTTGCGGGTCGCGCCGCCAGGAGCGCTGGCAAGGGGATGGGGTCGGCGCCGAACTTGAGCCCTCACCTGCCCTCGGCCCATAATGGGGCGCCGCCGACGGCCCGACGGCCCTTCCGCCCTTCGCCCTCGCCCGACAATCGCCCGCGTGAAATGTGGCCCAACTTCCCCCCGGGGCTTTCGCGGAACCACTCGCCCTTCGCGCCCGAAAGGAAAACTTCCTCCTACGCCCTCGCCCCGCCCCGCCCCCGCCGCTACCCCACCGCAGGCGCCATGAACTTGCACGCGTGGTGGAGAACACGCCCTTGGGCACGCGCCCACGTCGCGTACAAAGCGACAATTCCCATATGCCACCCACGCTCATATTTTATTTCTCGTATGGTCCGCTTCGCGAGGACACGGCCCGTAGCTCATCACAGGCGCTTTCAGGCCTCTCCAACATTGCGAGTGCGGTGACATGTTGATAATGCGATGAGTAATGAACATGAGGATGGCTCTAAGGTGTAATGGAAGGCCGGGAACACGATAGCTACATGAAAACCTGCGGCAAAATTCATTTACAACATCTATTGTCTCCATTATCATATTCACGCTTTATTCGCGCTCCACAGTTTCCACACTCCACTGACCCGGTAAGACCATATGAGAGGAAGTCGTTGGTCGACGAGCGGCGGGCTGCCGACTACTCACGCAAATGAAAGTGCCTTTAATGATAATTATTTCCAATGACATCGATTGATATCGGTCGTTGATGTATAGTAACAACAACCAAGCACCATTAAAAAAATCCTCTTATACGTGAAAATAATAACGCAGAAAGCAACTCCCGGATAGAGATTAAATGCCCTCGTGTGAGACACATTCATTTCTTTCTGCCCCGTCCTCCAGGCGGAAGTATATATGCAAGTGCCCCGCCCCTCGTCTTCCTTAGGCCCTACGCGCGCTCTCCCGGTGTCTCGCCGCAGGAAGGTACGGCTGCCATCAGCGTAATGAAGCACAGGGGGCGCGCGGCACATGTCCTCGGCCCCACCGACGTACACTGGTCAGAAACTGGTTGAAAGGCGATCAAAACAAGAATGCATAATGAGAAGAAA